TTTTTTTTTATTATAATCTAAAAACCTGAATTCAGATAAAACATTCTGCCTGACCAGAACTATGTAAGATAACCCACATACTCCATCACTTCGCAGCATAGCAGGACCCTCTTTACTAGTATTCAATCAACTTAGGTATCTAGGAGTCAGTGGAGGTGAGTGGACTGCAAAAATGATGAATAATGGATAAGAAGTTGTGAAGGGTGACAAGGAAGCAGAAAGTGAACCTTGTATGAAAAGGAAGGAAAACGATGTGAAGAGATGATTGTAATAAAGCCTGAAGACCTTAACCTCTCCCTTGAGAGAGGGAATCAAGTTGAAGGCCACCTGCTTGCACGCTTGGCTCTCTGTCAACCGGGCGGGGGTGCTAAGCCTTAAGCCTAGAACTCCGTCTCTACCCTTGTCTGGCCCCTAGGCCTGACCATTCATTTAGACTCTCATAACACGTTTTACGAGACCTTCCTCAGGGTCCACACCTGGGGAAACAGCGCCCGCACCCCCGGAGTTTACAGGGGGAGTTCAACAGTGCACAGGCTATCACAGGGGCAAAGAGGAATGACAAGGAAGATTCGCAGGGACCAACTACTCCATTGCCAGAAGTCCTCCGCCCTCCTGGTCCACAGAGTTAAGGCCCCACTGCCGCCTCATAACGCAGGCCCCGAACCTGCCTCCAACGCGGCGCCCTTCCCCAAGATTGGCGCGAGTCTGCATGTCGCCATCCCCAGGTCCAAGCTACAGATCTACAGACCTTGCCGCTGAACTCTGCAGCTCTTCCCTCCTTCCTCACGGTTCTCCGGATACCTCAAACCTTACTGAGCTGCACCAGCCACCGTACGTAACATAACGGCGCGTCAATGACGTCACTACTGGGCGCTTCTCGGGCACCCAAGCGAGTATGGCGCTGTCCCGGCCGCTGCGGCTGTTGTCGCTCGTGACTCGGATGCTCCTGGGGCCCAGACGCGACCTGGCGATCCGTGGTCCTGATGAACACCTGCCGGTGGTGCGCATTCCTCTGGCTCTACAGCGGCGGCAGGAACAGCAGGAGAGCAGGCGACAGAGCCGCCGGGCGCCGGTGCTAGTGCGACCTGGACCGTTGCTGGTCTCGGCGCGGCGGCCAGAGTTTAACCAGCCCGCGCGCCTCACCCTGGGCCGTTGGGAGTCAGCGCCGCTCGCCTCGCGTGGCTGGAAGAATCGGCGCGCGTGTCGGGACCACTTCTCCATCGAGCGCGCGCAACTTGAGGTGCCTGCGCTGCAGAAACTCTTGTCAAATGAGAACACCTTCGAGGACCTGGGTCTGGAGCCCCACGTGCTGCGCGCACTCCAGGAAGCTGCGCCTGAAGTCGTTCGACCCACAAACGTGCAGTCTAGGACCATTCCTCCACTACTTCGCGGCCGCCACATCCTTTGCGCTGCGGAAACCGGCAGTGGCAAGACACTCAGCTACCTACTACCGCTGCTTCAACGGCTTGTGGGCCGACCAAGACTGGGCTCCAGCCAGATCTCCGCTCCCCGGGGCCTGGTCCTTGTGCCTTCCCGAGAATTAGCCGAACAGGTATGGGCCGTGGCCAGGGTCTTGGGCAACTCCTTGGGCCTACAGGTGCGAGAGCTAGGGGGAGGCCATGGCATGCGTAGGATTAGGCTGCGTCTGTCCAAACAGCCTACAGCAGATGTGCTAGTAGCCACTCCGGGGGCCCTGTGGAAGGCCCTAAAAAGTCGGCTGATCAGCCTGGAGCAGCTCTCCTTCTTGGTATTAGATGAGGCAGACACCCTGCTGGATGAAAGCTTCTTGGAACTGGTGGACTACATCTTGGAAAAGAGCCATATAGCAGAAGGCCCATCTGACTTGGAAGACCCTTACAATCCCAAAGCCCAGTTAGTGCTGGTGGGAGCCACGTTTCCCGAAGGTGTAGGCCAGTTGCTGAGTAAGGTTACCAGCCCAGATTCTCTCAGGACCATCACCAGCCCCAAGCTACACTGTATCATGCCTCATGTCAGACAGACATTTATGAGGTTGAAGGGAGCAGAGAAGGTGACTGAGTTGGTGCAGATCCTCAAGCATCATGAAAAAGCAGATAGGACTGGATCCACAGGAAGTGTCCTGGTGTTCTGCAATAGCTCTAGCACTGTGAACTGGCTGGGATATATTCTGGATGACCACAAAATCCAACACTTAAGGTTACAGGGGCAAATGCCAGCCTCAATGAGGGTAGGTATCTTCCAGTCCTTCCAGAAGGGCTCCCGAGACATACTTCTCTGCACAGACATAGCCTCTCGGGGCCTGGACAGCATCCATGTGGAACTGGTTGTCAATTATGATTTCCCCTTCACCTTGCAAGATTACATCCACAGAGCCGGGAGAGTGGGCCGTGTGGGGAGTGAGGTTCCAGGCACTGTCATCAGCTTTGTAACCCATCCTTGGGATGTGAGCCTGGTTCAGAAGATTGAGCTGGCAGCGCGCCGAAGGAAAAGCCTTCCAGGACTAGAATCCTCAGTGAAGGAGCCGTTGCCTCAGCAAATCTGATTTTTTTTCTGGCTTCAAAGGGATTTTTTTTCTGGCTTTCAAAAGAAAAAGATGCCTTTTTATTTTGTCTCCACAAAGGGAGCCTGTTCATTGTCTGTGGTGAAGGTATCTTGCTTTGTAAACCTTCTCTTCCTCAATAAACTTTATTTCAAAAAATAATGAAGCCAGAACAGAGATCTTTCCCAGTGTGCTAGGTGTTATAAGTACTTCTCAGTTGGAGGCTCTGAGCTGCCTGTCACCTCTGTGAGGGCCAAAATGACCTGGTATATGACTTGGAAAGGTAACTTACCAAGTAAGCGTGGCTCTTTGTAGTCTTTCACATGACACAAAAAACAAATTGGATTTTTACTTTGTTCTACATGTTTTGTCATGATTTCTAATACCAGTGTTTTTATGTGTCTCCTGTAAAAATAATTACTATTGTCTCCTATAATAATTACTTTGGGGGCACCATTCAGTGAATGCTGAGGATTCATACCCCAAACCTCCACTTCTAGAACAAAGGCTGTATTAGTTGCTTTAATTTGTAAGCATTTAGGTTTTATTTCTTGCCCCCCCCCCCGTAAAGGTATCCATTAGACCCCCAGGGAACATGACTAGCAATAGTTTCACCAACAATCCCCAAGGCAAACTTGGGGACTCTTGGTGAAATCACTCTGAGAAGGACTGGCAAAAAAGTAAAGAGCAGGATGACAGAAATATTCCTTTTTTTTTTTTTTTTGAGACAGAGTATCACCATTCCTCCCCACCCCCACCCCCATAGAGTGCCTGTGGCATCACAGCTCACAGCAACCTCCAACTCTTGGGCTCAAGCGATTCTCTTGCCTCAGCCTCCCAGGTAGCTGGGACTACAGGTGCCCACCACAACGTCCAGCTATTTTTTGTTGTAGTTATTGTTTGGTAGGCCCAGGCTGGGTTCAAACTCTCCAGCCCCAGTGAATGTGGCCGGTGCCCTAGCTGCTGAGCTAAAGACACTAAGCCAGAAATACTCTTGTGCATTTCCAGGCTCTGCTTTCTATCCCAACTCTCAGTGGTGAAGGAAGAGGGGTGATGATTGAACTATTTTACAAGACTGGCAAAATAACACATAGCATTCTTCATCTCCTGATTTACAGTCTCTGTGGCATTATACGTACAAGCTTTATTTAAAGACCACTTGATAAGGCGGTGCCTGTGGCTCAAGGAGTAAGCAATGGCCCCATATGCCAGAGGTGGCAAGTTCAAACCCGGCTCCAGCCAAGAACTGCAAAAAAATAAAAAAGAAAATAAAGACCACTTGATAGTCAAATATATAGCACAGAACAAAAACACTTCCATGATGAAAAGGATTAAGATTGCACAGGACAAAAATGGGCCCAGGAGCAATGTTTGCTAAAAGAATATCATACTGAAAGTTCAATTATACCTCTCTCATATGAACTGAAGTTCAAAGGGATAAAAGAAAATGGTTAAGATCAGACAAGTAGGGTGGAATCTGATCTGTTAGGACCAACTGTTGTGTTGTTTTATTTGAGACAGAGTCTCACTCTGTTGCCTTGGGTAGAGTGTGGTGGCATCATCATAGCTCACAGCAACCTCAAACTCTTGGGCTCAAGCGATCCTTTTGCCTCAGCCTCCCAAGTAACTGAGACTATGGTGCCTGCCATGACACTTGGCTAGTTTTTTCTATTTTTGGTAGACACAAGGTTCTTGTTCAGGCTGGTCTCAAACTCCTAAGCTCAAGGAATTTAGCCATCTTGGCCTTCCAGAGTGCTAGGATTATAGGTGTGAGCCACAGCGCCCAGCCTTATTCTTAACAACTGTGCTAGATTTCTAGCTTTTCTCAAGTGTGATTCCTGTGTACAATAACTATCCATCTCTTTCCCAGAGAGATACTATTTTCTTTTCTTTTCTTTTTTTTTTTTTTTTTTTTTGAGACAGGGCCTCAAGCTGTCCCCCTGGGTAGAGTGCCATGGCATCACAGCTCACAGCAACCTCCAACTCCTGGGCTCAAGCGAGTCTCCTGCCTCAGCCTCCCAAGTAGCTGGGACCACAGGCACCTGCCACAATGCCCGGCTAGTTTTTTTTGGTTGCAGCCGTCATTGTTGTTTGGCGGGCCAGGCTGGATTCAAACCCACCACCTTAGATGTTTGTGGCTAGCACCTTAGCCACTTGAGCCACAGGCGCCGGCCTGAGATACTATTTTCTTTTCTTTTTTTTTTTTTTTTTTTTTTTGGTGTGTGTGTGTGAGAGAGACACTCTCACTCTGTTGTCCAGGATAGAGTACCATGGCCCCTCATCCTAGCTCACGGAAACCAGACTCCTGGGTTCAAGTAATCGTTCTGCTCCAGGCTCCTGAGTAGCTGGGACTACAGACCCCACCACAATGCCAGCCTAATTTTTCTAGTTTTAATAGAGATGGGCTCTCACTCTTAGGCTGGTCTCAGAACTCCTGAGCTCAAGTGATCCTTTCACCTTGGCCTTCTAGAGTAGTTAGGATTATAGGCATCAGCCATCATACCTCACCTCCCAGGAATATTCTTTACGTCTGTTCCCTGGCACAGTTTTTAATATTGCCTACTTTGACCCCTCCTAATTTAGAACATTTGGTCATTCTATCTATGGATCACTGTGGCAGAACTGCCAAGAGCATTAAAAGTGTAAATTCCTGGGTCCTACTCTCAATGAGATCAAGCTCTCTGAGAGCTGCACCAAGAATCCTATTTTTGTAAGCTCCCCACGTCATTTCAGGCCCTTCTAAATTGGTAAACCATTTGTCTATGCTGTGTTGCCTTCCAGAGTCCCAGTCATGTCCCAGCGAGGTCTCAGTAGTACCCTTGCCAGATGTGAGGGATGCTCCTAGATAAGTAGTCTCTGGAGAGCCTCAGAGAACCTGAGTGATCTCCTGCTGCTCTCCTGCCAGGAGAAATCTCCCTGGGAACCTACTCCTTCAAATTTTACCTCCCACTATGTCCCTCATGCAGGCTGCTCTAATTAGGCCTTGACTTCTGACTAACCTGAAATTCATACCACACTACTTGTGCTACTTGTCAGGGAAGGTGCTATGATTCTCAACCAGATTGCCCAACCTCCTGAATAGTTTAGGCAGTCTACCTCCTGGATGCATGCCTTCTGCAATAGCCCTGCCAAACAAATGTTCCATGTTTGCTTGTTCAAGGCCAGTCTCCACAAAATTTAACAGAATGTGATACCCCCACCTATAGTCCCAGGAGAAGCATCACTTAAACCCAAGATTTTGAGGTAGCAGTGAGGTACAGTGATGCCAATGCACTAGGCCTGGGCAACAGCAAGTGAACCTGGCTCCCAAAAAAAAGCCCATCATTTCTACTTTATGAAGTCATTTAGGACTCTCATTTTCCCTGAAACACATTGAACATTGTTCCCAGTGTTCATCACCTTTAAGTGTGAAGGGCTTGTCCTCTTATTTCTATCAGCTATAACTCTGGAGACCAGCGTGAAGCCCTGCTTTCGAGCAATAGCCACTATCTGTGTGGCCTTGGACAGGTCCCCCAACCTCTTGGTTTGAGTACCCAGTTGTAAAAATGTGAGGGTTCTATGAATTTACATGTGGGGCAGAACAAGGTAGGGAAGACCTTGTCTTTGCTTTTATTCCTCCCAATTGGAATGTCTTCCCTCTCCTTTCCATGTGTCCAAGTCTCTCCTTCAGCCACCTCAAAGGCGCCTGCCTACATCTCTGCCCCTCCAACTGTTGAAGGCTCAGGGTCAGTGGCATGCAACCTAGCTGCCTCTTAGGTTAGCCTTGCAGTTCTGGCCCATGTCCACATTTGGGTGTCTCTTCCCCTCCTGGGGCCACTGGGACTGTGTGTGCCTGCCCACAGGTGGGCTTCAAAGAGAGTGGCTACTAGCCTAGGAGATGGGTGGGAAGGGCCAGATGTGAAGACCCAGGCAGGGCTTCTCTCTACCTCTGTTCTACTTTCCTCCACAAAACTCCCAAGAGCCTGAGGCCTGCCCCTCCATTCCAGATTGCTTATATGACCTCACTGGGTAGTGATGACCTCATAGGCCTTCTCAGTTTCCACAGCAGGGTAACTATGGAAACATAGTTTCCATACCTTTGGGAAAATTGGCTGGCCATTTCTCTTCAAAACACCAATCTGGTGTTTCCTGAGAGGAAATGTCTGACCGGATCTTGTATATTAACTCTAATTTGTCCTCTATCCCCTGGGAGGGCTGCATTGCAGGTAGGCCAAGGACAGACATCTGTACAAGAGGCAGTGGTGTACGCACAGTCTCAGCTGGGTGCCACTTTTGGCCTTGCCCACCACTCCAAAACTTCTCTAGCCATAAGTAGTGCCAGTGTCCGAGGGTCCCCCTCAGGGACCCACAGTGTTCCTGCTCACTACTGAGGGCAAGTGAAATGTCAGCTCTGAGCAAGTGTCCCTAAAGTTTCTCATCTTTTTTAATTTAGCTTTCCCTTTTGAGTCTCAAGAGGTTTCTAATCAGACCCTTTGCCGATTGACCTCTCAGCAAAAACCAAGTATGTTTTGTTGGCAAGTGATAAATGGAGTGATTTGAGGAAGAACTGTTGAGGGACACAGTCCCCTTTTACTTTACTGTTCTGTCCTAAAGACACAAGGACCCCTTCAGATTCATCCTAGTCTCAGCTACTGAGTCCTGGCACTAGGGTGTCAAGTAGGTGGGAAAAACAGAAAGCCAAGTGGAGTGAGGCAGCCGTACTGAGATTGGAGGTCTAAGGAAGTCATGTCTCAGGAGGTTAAACAGATCTCCGAAGGCTACTTGAGCCTAGATATGGTGCCCAGTGTCTGGCTCTGCCCTTCTGGTCACTGTGCTTCAGCGTTTGGCCTTCAGAAAGTATTAGGAAATTAGATAAAAGTATCTGAGAAGTAGAGTTCAATGTAGTTGAAATAGGCAGGATGAATGAAGCCCAAGAGGAGGTCCCTAGGTGGGAAGGGTTCTTACCTGATTTATATTGGACGATTTATTCCCAAACTTGAAAACCAGGCTCAGCGCCTGTGGCTCAAGTGGCTAAAGGCGCC